ATGCAGTAACCGTTTGGAGGGAACATTGTGAGTTCCAAAATTTCTGAATTTGATATTTTTGGTGATTATGAGTGTAGTTGAGAGTTAATGGAGGAGTTGACTTGGAATGTGGATGAATTATTCTATTATTATTTGAATTCATGTCTCTGGAACTTAGCTATGTACTAGCCCCTTTGTAGATGTTGTTGATTTGTAGATAGAGAGTAATAGCTGGCAAAATATTTATTGATTCTAAACTTTTAAATCTGTTGCAGCTGATCTTGTTTGTTGTTCCCTTTTCAGGGCCTGTTATGGTGTTTTGAGATTTATCATGGAGAGTGGTGCAAAGGGATGTGAGGTTTGTATGGAGATGCTCTGGACTTAAGTTTGGTTGGTTGCTATACTCAAATAGGATTCTCCTTGAACTAGGTTTCTAATTTAACTATTCTTGTCTTTTATGATTTAGGTTATTGTTAGTGGAAAGCTTAGGGCACAACGTGCCAAATCCATGAAGTTCAAGGATGGATATATGATCTCTTCTGGCCATCCCATGAATGAATACATTGACTCTGCTATTCGACATGTTCTTTTGCGACAGGTTTGCCTATCCTTTTTTTCTTTTTTTGGTTAAGGTTTCTTTAATTTATGCTGTTTTTTGTTGTCTCCTTTCTTTTGATTGCTTTGCTGATTAAGTTGTTATTCCACAGGGAGTACTTGGTATCAAGGTCAGGATCATGCTGGATTGGGATCCTAAGGGCAAACAAGGTCCTACAACTCCTTTGCCTGATTTGGTTACAATCCACGCTCCCAAGGATGAGGAAGACTACATCCGGCCTACTGTTATTCCGACTGAGATTGACCTTCCAGTGAATTAAGCCATATTGCTTACTTATAATCTGAATTTCATTGTTTGTTTTATTTTATTTCAACTTTTTGGAGATATTGAGTGATTAGTTTTTATTATTGCCAATGTTAGGCTCCCAAGGATGTTCTTAATTTGGCGTTTTAAATCTTTCATGAATGTTCTACAAATTTTGATATATATTATTAGTTACTAGTTTTTGTTCAAGTGTTCTTTGTATATCATTTTCAAGTTTTTCTGTGTAGTTAGTTTGCTATTTCTTATTGTATAGTCATTGCTGGTTCAGCTCTGTCCTTTATTCTGCTTTAATTTATGGTTTTGAAACTTTTGATAGCTAATAGGTTATTGGGTTTTGATTCTAAAAAATTTCCAAGTGATTATTAGCCGAACTTCTAAAAGGTTAGAAGGAACGTCACTTTAATGGTATGTTGTATAAATAAAGCACGACGACCGAAAAAAAAAAGAAAAGAAAAGAAAAGAAAGAGGAAAGCCTCTTGTTCAAAAATAAGTTATATTAGTCAACAAGAATATATTGAATGTGAGAATGTTACTTTCATTAGGCAACGCACGTTAAGAAAAAGACAGTTTTTCAGGGAAAAAAAAAAAAGAAAAAAAAAAGGAAGAAAGAGTTCGAGCTACGCGGGAAGAAGGCCCGCTCCGTTTCAATTTCGGATCCATCGCTATCAAAACGATGTGTTGTGGTTCGAACGCAGAAGCACGAAACCTGCGGCCCAAGTTTGGTACAAAATGGACTCCGGAGTCCAGGAGTCGAGTCGGTTAGCCCTTTCCACAAAATCCCCGCCATTGTCACCTTCCAAATTTTCAAGTTGATCTTCTCCTCTCCCTCGCCTCCTTTCTTATTATACCTAATAATCTCCACAACATAAACATCTGCAACGATGAATTTCAAAATTTCTTTAACGTCTCTACGATTTCTTCCATATTTCTTGTAGTTTGTGGGTCGCCTTTTGGTTAGGGTTTCTGGAATTTTGAGATCTAATTGTGTGCAACGATGCCAGTAAACCTCACGCGCAAGCGATTGCGGCAATCAATGGCGGAGATGTCAACTCGAAGCTGCTGGTTCAGGTGCTGGATATCAAGCTCAGAGGGAGCACTCAGGAGAGGTACCGCCTCATCCTCTCCGACTCCGTGTCGACTCAGCAGGTGATGCTCGCTACTCAGCTCAACGATCGAGTCAGGACTGGCCAATTCAAGAAGGGATCTATTGTCCAGTTGATCGATTACATTTGCAGCACCGTTCAGAATCGGAGGTAAGTATACCGTGTCTATCTGGTGCTTGATTATTTAACTATTCTTAAACTAATGACTTGCGCTGTTTGTTATGATAAACTTTATTATCATTGTATGTTGTGCATTTGATTTAGTAGACAGATTTTCGAAAATCAAATGTGAGTTAACGTGAGGGGTGTCAGATTCATACTGTTATCTTCATTTTTTTTTTTTTTTTGGGTTCTTTTGTTGAATATGTGAGATGATGCAATTTTAGAATTGGTAGATTGATCTGTTGGTGAACACTGAAGTTCTGGAACTTTTAAAATTTTAAGCAAAGAAATTGCTTTTAGACCTGTCTAATTAAAACAATAAAAAGTAATGAAACGTTAGGATACATCTTTGGAAGATTTTCCCTATCCTTTCATTTGTAATATCTGGCTATTGTGATTTGTGGTAACTGACATGAAATAGCCCTGGCTTGTCTCTCGCATTCTCGTTAATATTACTTTAATTGCACATGGATGAAAATGAATAATCTTACATTTCATCCATCTAGGTAGTATTTGAATGGTGTACCATAAGAATATCTGAACAAATTTGTTTAAATTAGAATGGATGATGAGATGCATGGAAAACCAAAGGGATTGATTACCCAAAGCTTGTAGGTATCTGGAAAATGACTTCTTTGTTTCTCGACATATTAGAGAAAGTGTTGTTGCCCTTTTGATGGAGTGTTTATGATATTCTATTGTATGAGTCTTGAGTAAATCTTTGTTTCATTTCATTTCATGCGGATTATTGTTGTGCTGAACATGGAAACAATAATTCCAGGGTATGAAATTATTGGTAATCCTAAGGTGCTTACTGATTCTGATTCAGCTAATCAAAGGACATTGCCAAATATCAAGCTGGAGCAGTCAGTGAGGTTTAGTAATAATAATAATAATTCAAGTGTCCAAGCTCCCACTTGTAATGTGCAGAGTTTCCAACCAACGATTCAACCTCCTTATGAACCACCTCCAAATTACAAAATTCATGACCCAATAATGAAGAATGAGGCAACTGCAAGAATCATTCTGTCATGCCTCAGAATCCAAATCTGAGGAGTAACAAACGCCGTGCACTCGTGAACGGATCCCACGAATGCATAAGGTTTAAAACTTATCATACCACAATCTGATACCACAAAATCTGAAGATAAAATTTTAAAATTTACCTTGATATCATAAAATCTCCAAATAAATTCTAGCTTACAAGATCATGATTTATATCTAAAATCCATGTTCAATTTACAAGATGGCTAGCCTTCTAACTAGTCACACCTCTTGTTTTTTTCCGTCCTTACTTCGCTTCCTGAAATGGTAGACAAGAAAAAACTATCAGATAACTCAGTAAGTAAATATAGATAGTTCTTGGATAAAATTTTTATAGCATGTCTGATAAACAGTTTAACATAAGGTTAAATGCTAAATTTAGTCCCTCAACTTTATGAAATGCACATTTTTGGTCCCTCAACAAGTTTTTGCACTTTTTTTGATCCCTTGACTTTAAAAATTGCACAATATTGGTCATTCCGTCAGTTAAGTGTGATGTAGCAGTTAAATAATTTACGTGGCATTATCTTTTAATTTTTTTTATGATGTAGCAATAATATATATTATAATTATATTATATAAATAAATAAAAATGTCACATAAATTAATAATTATATTTTAATTAAAAACAAATACAATTACCTTATTATCCTCACCCTCCCAAACCCTTTTCTTCCCCTTCCTTCTTTCTTTCTCTTTCTTTCTTTCCTATAAACCCAGCAAACGAAACCCAGCTTTCCTCACCTTCCCAATCCTTCTTCTTCCCCTTCTTTCTTTCTTTCCACCCTAGGTCGATGGAAAGCTGGGTTCATCGGAACCCAGCAGATGAAACCCAACAGATCTGGGTTTCGATGAACCCAACATGCTTAGCCAATTCCATGCATCTAACCAAAAAATCCTTTCTTCTTCCAATTTTTCGATCATCCCATTCATTACCCGTGAGCCATTCATCTCCTAATTCTTTCCATTCTACCCACGAAGAATCTATAATCACTCGCAAATCTAGTTCGACTAATTGTTCTCGGATCGTCGATTTACAATTTGATTGCATTTTTCTTGAAATTTGATTAGAGTTTGATTGTATTTTTGTTGGAATTTGATTAGAGTTTGATTGATATTGTTTATTGAAAGGTTAATTTGATTTGATAACATCTACTAGGTTTGAGGCTTCAATGAAACCCAGTAGCTGGGTTCAATGATAGAGAATTCCAAATTCTCTGGTTCATAAACATATTATTTTGTAAGGACTCACCCCATTAGCAATAGAGGTAACCCAACTCGAGTTAGATTGATTTTGCAGAGAGTGAAGGTGAGAGACCATTCTAGGGTTCACAGATCTTATTGGTGGTTTGCAAGCAACGCGAAAGCCATTGAAGGGTCTTTGGTGCAGGAAGAAGATGACATGTCATAAAAAAAAATCCATATCAGCACGTTTTAAAGTTGTCCTTGCCATGTCATAAAAAAAAAATGCCACGTGGTCGAGTTAATGGCTCAAATTGACAGAAGGACAAACGTTGTGCATTTCTTAAAGTTGAGGGATCAAAAAAGTGCAAAAAATTGTTGAGGGACCAAAAATGTGCAATTCATTAAAGTTGAGGGACCAAATTTAGCATTTAACCTTAACATAACAAAACGTTCAATGATAAACCGTTAATACAGAATCAAATTCAGTTTAATAACAAAGCGTTCAATGACAACCCGTTAATGCAAAAGAAAATTCAGTAGTAGTCTCATTTATAAGTCATGGCCAGCGTTTATAAACCTCCCACTGGCGAGCATAGTAGTAATCAATGTTTTACCCCATTGGCAAGATTTCAGTAATAACCAATGTATTATCCCATTGGCAAGATTACAGAATGAACCGGTCCTATCGGTAAACATGTCGACATGTGCTAGCGTTTATAAACCTCCCACTAGCGGGCACAGTAAAACATGACCATATCTGAGACAAAACCATGCAGGATTTACAAAAGAAATCTGTAATTCACAATTAATCTCAAATTTTAGAAATAATCAGAAAATTCCATATGGGCATGGATTTAACAGAAAATCATAATTTACAAAAAAATTCTCAAATCATTAGTTCCGTAAATACCAAGTGGGCATGCTCTACTCAATGAAAATGAAAATAATTCCATTTCAAATCAATCATGCTCGGTGCTAATAAAATCAATTTAAACCTTATCACCATCTCAAAAACAATTTAAAACATGCTTTGAAATTGAAGGGCGTTACCATAATTTACTTACCTCACTCGCATAAAACCGAAGACTCAATCCACGTACTAAAGTGCCTCAAGGATTAAGAACCTAACCAAAATATTCAAGAATTAATTCTATAAGCAATTTCATTTATTTATTTATTTTCATTGACCGGATTGTGTATATATACATTTATATACACAAATACATATATAAATGGTTTCCCAATCTCACGGCAAAAGGGAAGAGCACGGCTTTGGCAAAAATAGGGGCTAAAACACTTGGGATTTTCCTCCAAAATCACAGCAGCCAACTCAAGCAATTTATACATGAATTAAGCTTAATTATGCTCTAATTACTACCGAAATTCATCCCCATTTTTCAACAAATTTTTGGATAGTGCAAGGGTAGCCACTACATGGATAAATTCAACAAAACAACAGTTAAATGGACTAAAAATTTGAACTTATTGTAGCTGTTACATACCAGAATTTTTCCAGCTGTAGAACCGGACCTGTCGGGGGAAGGAGCCGATGACAATTCTGTAGGGGACTCACGGAATTAACCCAAAATTGAAGGAACAAGAGGAACTTAGAGTAACCCAAGTTAAATTAAGGCTAAAAGGAGGAGATCCATGACTGTAGCTTATCGAAAAATGCCTAGAAATTTGCACCCAGTAGAAACCGAAGGATAGGGTAGGAAGAGCAGAGCTGAGCAGATCAGAAAATTTCTTTGCGGGGGGAAGAATTTTGGGTTCAATTTCAGTCCTAGAACAAGAAAAGGAGAAATATCCAAGCTTTCTACCGGTTTCCTCAAGAAAATTGTTGTCAGCAGCTTGGTTCCTTTTTTTTTTTTTGTTTCAGGTTGCAGCGAGGTCGGGAAGAGTTGAAGCACATGAGCTGAGGAACAAAGGAAGAAAAAAAGAAAAAGAAAAAGTAACTGACTCTTATCCAATTTTTCTCTTTTAAGTCGCTAAACTTTGAAATTTCGGTTATTAAGCCCTAAAAAAATATTTTCTTTTAGAAAAACCCTTACTTAAATGCTAAAATATCATAAAATTTTAGGATATTACATTCACCCCTCCTAAAAGGAGTTTTGTTCTCAAAACTCAAATCTAGGATCATTTTGAGTGGTGAATGGCTTCACACAATCCAAGATAGAACAAATGCCTCACCAACTCTTTATGAACAGAACATAGCCTACTACGCTTCTGCTGCGCCACTCTGATATCAACCACAACTAATTATAAAAGCAGAACATTAACTACTTATCAAGATTCACCCTAAAATAAGCTACTAGAGGCTGGGGTGACATGGGAAGCACAAGTAATAAAAATAAATCCTGCCAAAGCCACTAAAGAACAATTGTGGGGTTACGCTATGAACCCAACACAAGATGAGTTGGCAAAGAATGGCATGGATTTAAAGACGAGTACAACAAAATTTTGAACTCTATCAAAGATGGATAAGCATTCAATGGATATATGGATCATGAATGAATGAACGAGTGCATGGATGCCTTATACATTCTGCCACAAAACAAGGTTAACCAATAAGTAAGATCATGTTTAACAAAACAACTAGAATCAAGAGACAGATTTTAGCAATTAACAAGAGTTAAAAGCTAGACCCATCAAATGACAGGTGAAATTTTCAGAATAGCATCAGAATGAAATCAGTGGAAAATATGAATGCTTGGAAGAATACTGAAACATAAGAGTGCAAGGTAGAATGCCTCAAAATTCAACAACAAAACGGCATTTACCAAGAATCAAGATCAAATTTAACCAAGTAGTCAAAATTGAGAGACAAGAGTTAACCATGAAACAAGTAATAGAATTCAAGGATTAGGCCCACAAAAGAGATTTTAATAATGACAACCAGGACACGGATTCAAGAACAGATATAACCAGGATGTCAAGATCTAACACCCCAAGTAACATGAATTAATTAACAGAATAATCAATAGTGGGGATCATGATACTTAGAAGATTACTGTCTTCTAATTAAAAGGGCAAACAAGAATCAAAGCAACTAGATAAAAGAACCATTTCTCTTGGAACAAAACTCTAGGGCATCAGGTACTTCAAAGACTACCCCTTCACCTCGTAGCCCATGGAGGCTAAGCAGATTTATAATCAAGTCATCCTAGACATCCTAGAGTCAAGTCAAAGCTAAGACATTAAGAATACAGGAATTAACACTTGTAAGAGACAAGAATGAGGATGCCTCATATAAGTATTTTCTCATAATTATCACCCCTCCTAAAGGGGTGTACATATGAACAAAAAATAAAAAATCCAGAAGATCAACAGGTATACTAAAACAAGAACTAGCAGAATATGCAGATTTGAGCAAGAGCAATATACAGAATTTGAACAAGAGCAAGGGTCAGAACAAGAATGGTTTTCAAGGACAATTCAAAATAGATTCCAAAAACCAACTATCAATTGATTTTCAAGAAAAGGATGCTAATATGACTTTACTCTAGGCAAGGTTCGAGATAAGATTCCAAGAACAGTTCAAGAATTAATTTCAGATAAGTATCAAGATAATGAGGATTTCAATAATCATTATCCATTTCCTTTGGATTTTAGTTTCAAGAACAAGTATAAAGCAATCTCAAGAAAGATTCAAGATGGATTTCAAGAGTTTTAAGCAGTTTCCAAGTATCAAGAATGTAGAGATTAGCAACAATAGAGAGTTTAACTTTATGAAAGCTTGCCAATCTTCACAAAACATGACAATTTCAATTGAATGATCACTGTTTTTGATTAACCAATATAGAAAAATGAGCCACATGAAAAGACCATGAAGCTCCAAATGGAAAAGTGAAATTTCACTATAAGACTTTCAGAAAGATAACGAGCAGCGAAATTACCAAGTTATCCAGCTCCTAAAATGCATCTAGAAAACACACAACATTTGCTAAAATAGCCTTGAATCTCTTACAAAGTAGAGAATTTGCCCATCTTCCACTGGTCATGTGACAAACAGAACAAGTTTCTCAACCAGTTATGTTGTAGAGACCAACAGGATCAATAACAAAAGATCTCTGCAACTCCTCAGATTTTACAATTGTGGCAAAAGAGCATACAAAAATACTATTCAAGTAACAAGTCTAAACAAGTGCAGACTATCAGAAAATGGCCAAGTTTCAAAACAAGGTCTTAAGAACATGGCGGACAAGATTAATTTCATGGATCCACACAGGGTATGAAGGCAGGAAACAAGAACAATCAAATTACCATCTCATCAAAATGGATTAGAAAATTCAGGCAACATGAATAAGAATTGTCCCTTATATAACCCCATCACTTGTTTCACCACCGTTCTAAAATCCACTGGCTAGCCAAGTTCTAAACAAATCTTAGGTAAAGCACAAAATCTAATTAAACCTAAGCTCTGATACCACTCAATTTGCTCTGATACCACTCAATTTAGAGGTGCTTAATTTAATCATAAGGTCTTAATTTAAACCTAAGCTCTAATACCACTAAATTTGTCACACCCCAAAATCCAAATCCGAGGCGTAACAAACGTCGTGAACTCGTGAACGGGTCCCACGAATGCACAAAGTTCGGAACTTATCATACCACAATCTGATACCACAAACTGAAGATAAAATTTTAAAATTTTCCCTGATATCATAAAATCTCCAAATAAAGTCTAGCTTACAAGATCATGATTTATATCTAAAATCCATGTTCAATTTACAAGATGGCTAGCCTTCTAACTCATCACACCCCTTGTTTTTCCCTATCTTTAACTTCGCTTCTTGAAATGGTGGACAAAGAAAAACTATGAGATAACTTAGTAAGTAAACATGGATGGCCATTGGGTAAAATTTTCATAGCATGCCTGATAAACAGTTTAACATAACAAAACGTTCAATGATAAACCGTTAATATAGAATTAGATTCAATTCAATAACAAAATGTTCAATGAGAACCCATTAATGTAGAAGAAAATTCAGTAGTAATCTCATCTATAAGTCATGGCCAGCGTTTATAAACCTTCCACTGGCGGGCACAATAGTAACCAATGTTTTATTCCATTGGCAGGATTTCAGTAGTAACCAATGTATTATTCCATTGGCAGGATTACAGAATGATCCGGTCCTATAAGTAAACATGTCGACATGTGCTAGCGTTTATAAACCTCCCACTAGCGGGCACAGTAAAACATGATTTTATCAGAGACAAAACCATGCAAGATTTACAAAAGAAATCCATAATTCACAATCAATCTCAAATTTCAGAAATAACCAGAAAATTCCATGTGGGCATGGATTTAACCAATGTTTTTGTACCCGGCCCGGTGGTTGACCCGTTTTGGCCACCGGGTCTGGTTCAACCGGTTGAACCAGTTCACCCGATCGGTTCAACCGGTTGACTAAAAACCTTTTTTTTTTTTACATTTTTACACCCGAGGCAAAGGCAAATGCAAACGAAAATCTGTTCTGTCAGTGGAAGAAGGAGAGGAAAGGCAGCGGCGAAAGGCTGAGATCCGGGGAGGCAGTTGTGGAGTCGCCGACAGCTGAGATTGGAGAGGTAGTTGGCCGCCGGTGACTTCGCTGCTCTGTTTTCTTTCTGCTTTTTGGCTCTTCTGCACAGAGATGGACTTGCTTTCTGGTTTTGCTTCTGCAGAGACAAAGGACTGGAAGCCGCAGACGGAGGCCACGAGCGAGCAGCAGGTTCTCGATTTCTGGCTGAGATCCGAGGAGGCAGTTGTGGAGTCGTCGATTGCTGAGATTGGGGAGGCAGTTGGTCGCCGGTGACTTCGCTGCTCTGTTTTCTTTCTGCTTTTTGGCTCTTCTGCACAGAGATGGACTTGCTTTCTGGTTTTGCTTCTGCAGAGACAAAGGACCGGAAGCCGCAGACGGAGGCCACGAGCGAGCAGCAGGTTCGTGATTTTTGGCTGAGATCGGGTGGGGAAAGGCCGGCGGTGGTGACTGGTGCGTGGTACTGGTGGTGGTCCGGTGGTGCTGTTCTTCCCCTGCTTTCTTTTGTTTTTAATTTCTCTTGGGTTTGCTTTTGCAATTTGTTGCGATTTTTATTTTTAATTAAAGTTAATGGTGTGGGTAATTAACTAATTATGTTAAAAATTAAATAAATTAATTTAATTAGTATTAACTCATTAAAAAGTAAAAACTCAAATTCATTTAGCTCGGCGAGTTAGACGGGTTAGGCGGTTTCAGCGGGTTAAGCGGGCACCAGCGGGTCAAAACGGGTGAACTTGTAAAACGGGTTAAGGTATTGGCTTGGCCCGTTTTTAAGCTCGGGTCCGGTTCAATCGGTTCAACCGGTTCAACCAGTTCAACCGACCGGGCCGGGCCGGGCCGGGTCCAAAAACACTGGATTTAACAAAAAATCATAATTTACAAAAAAATTCTCAAATCATTAGAGCAGTTCCGTAAAAAATATTAAGTGGGCATGCTCTACTCAATGAAAACAAAAATAATTCCATTTCAAATCAATCATGTTTGGTGCTAATAAAATCAATTTAAACCTTACTACTATCTCAAAAACAATTTAAAATATGCTTTGAAATCGAAAGGCGTTACCATAATTTACTTACCTCACTCACATAAAACCGAAGACTTAATCCATGTACTAAAGTGCCCCAAGGATCAAGAATCTAATCAAAATATCCAAGAATTAATTCTATAAGCAATTTCATTTATTTATTTATTTTCATTGACCGGATTGTGTATATATACATTTATATACACAAATACATATATAAATGGTTTCCCAATCTCACGGCAAAAGGGAAGAGCACGGCTTTGGCAAAAACAGGGGCTAAAACACTTGGGATTTTCCTCCAAAATCACAGCAGCTAACTCAAGCAATTTATACATGAATTAAGCTTAATTATGCTCTAATTACTACCGAAATTCATCCTCATTTTTCAACAGATTTTCGGACAGTGCAAGGGTAGCCACTACATGGATAAATTCAACAAAACAACAGCTAAATGGACTAAAAATTTGAACTTATTGTAGTTGTTACATACCAGAATTTTTCCAGTTGCAGAACCGGAACTAGCGGGGGAAGGAGCCGGTGGCAATTCTGCAGGGGACTCATGGAATTAACCCAAAATTGAAGGAACAAGAGGAACTTAGAGTAACCCAAGTTAAATTAAGGCTAAAAGGAGGAGATCCATGACCGTAGCTTACCGAAAAATGCCCAGAAATTCGCACCCAGCAGAAACCGACGGACAGGGGAAGAAGAGCCGAGCAGAGCAGATTTAGAAATTTCTCTACAGGGGGAAGAATTCTGGGTTCAATTTCAATCCTAGAACAAGAAAAGAAGGAGAAATATCCAAGCTTTCTACCAGTTTCCTCAAGAAAATTGTTGCCGGCAGCTTGGTTCTTTTTTTTTTTTTTTTTTGTTTCGGGTTGCAGCGGGGTCGGGAAGAGCAGAAGCACGCAGGCTGAGGAAGAAAGGAAGAAGAAAAAAGGAAAAAGAAAAAGTAACTGACCCTTATCCAATTTTTCTCTTTTAAGTCCTTGAACTTTGAAATTTCGATTATTAAGCCCCAAAACAATATTTCTCTCACAAAACCCCTTACTTAAATGCTAAAATATCACAAAATTTTGGGATATTACACATTCCTATTGGTGCTCTGAATCCCTATCAAGGGAGGTGGGCTATGAAGGCTAGGGTGACTGCAAAAGGAGATCTCTGTTGTTACAATAATGCTAGGGGAGATGGGAAGGTCTTCTCATTTGATCTCCTTGAATCTGTTGATGGGGAAATTAGGGTGACCTGCTCCAATGTTGTTGTCGACTGCTTCTATGGTGTTATTGAGGTTGAAAAGGTCTATTTGATTTCAAAGGGTAGTTTGAAACCTGCACAAAAGAATTTCAACCATCTGAAGAATCAATGGGAGATATTTCTAGAAGCAAATTTGATTATGGAGCATTGTCCCAATGAAGACGGTTCTATTGCAAGACAGCAGTTCTCTATCAGACCAATCAGTGAAATTGAGAATGTTGAAAACGATACCATACTTGATGCTATTCGTATTGTGATTACTGTGAACCCTTCAGTTCCTATTATGAGGAAAAATGGTATGGAAACTCAGAGAAGAATTCTGAATCTTAAATATTCTTCTGGCAAGAGTGTTGAGCTTACCCTTTGGGGTGAGTTATGTAATAAGGAAGGTCAGTTGCTGCAAGAAATGCTTGATTCTGGGTCATATCCAGTCTTGGCTGTCAAATCTGGAAAGGTCAACGACTTTAGTGGGAAGTCCATACGCACTATCTCTTCCACCCAGCTTTTCATAATCCAGATTTTCAGGAGGCATGTGGACTGACAGAGTGGTTTGATCGAGGGGGAAGGAATGCTGCTTCTGTCTTTATTTCTAAAGAAATCATGCCAGGGGGAACTAAAAATGAGATACGGAAAACTGTTTCTTAAATCAAGGATGAAGGTCTTGGAAGATCAAATAAGCCTGATTAGGTCACAGTAAGGGAACTGTAGTATTTATTAAAACAGATACGTTTTGTTACACAGCTTGCCCATTGATGATTGGTGATAAACAGTGCATTAAGAAAGTGACGACATCAGGTAATACAAGATGGCAGTGCGACTGGTGCAATCAAGAATTTGAGGATTGTGATTACAGATTTCTTCTCCAAGTTCAGATTCAAGACCATACTGGACTGACTTGGGTTACAGATTTTCAGGAATCTGGGGAGGAAATCATGGGCTGTTCAGCAAAGGAATTGTACTCATTGAAATATGTATCACAGGATGATATCAAATTTGGAGTAGACTCTTTAACTAATATCTGTTCAGGCTTAAAATCAAAGAAGATACGTATGGCGATGAACAGAGGGTGAAAATCACTGTTGTTAACGTGGACCAAGTGAACTATTCTTCAGAAAGCAGATACATGCTTATTCCATTCCAAGGTTTTTACTAACAAGAAGGTAACTTTGAGGCCAAGTAAATAATTTTAGAAGCTATAGCCTTGACATTGCTTAGATAATTTTCTTTTCCTGAATATAATTTGAATATGGAATGCTCAACCTTTTCTAGGCTTCGCTAGAGGTATCATCCTTGTAATTCCGCAGCTCTCTAGATCTAGAGAAATTCATTTTAATGTACTTTTATTGCTATGAATTACTAATTCTTTTATGTGGGAATTACTGCTTAGTTGAAGTTAAGTCAATGGTGTTACTTCAGTTGATTGTTTCAGTTGACTCTCGATTGAGAAATATGTGATACCTAAAGAAATTGGATTCTTTTTCGAGTTTCGTTTTCTGGGTATTTTTTAGCTGGAGTGTTCGGTAGTTTTCTCCCCTGGGTACCGAGTGGAATAATTAGGGATTCGATTTACGTCTAGGATCTAAGCATTGCATTACGCACATAAGGCAGTGTTCATTTCTTAGAACGTGATAACAGTTGCACAGAACAGGTACAAAAAATTAAAAAAGATCAGTTCCGCCTAACGGGGTCAAAGTTGGCAACACCAATCACCGCCCCAGCAATTACTCCGAGCAAAACACCATCAGTCATAATGCCGAGCAAGAAGTTCTTGAGAGAAGGAGAAATCCCGGATCCCGCTACCTCAGCCACCTCGGGGATGACCATGGAAGCCGTCGGTACTGCCTTTTCCTTGAGCAAAGATGCCTTGACTTCAACCCTCCTGCCGGAACTTGTACTGGCGACAACCGCCTTGGGTGGCCTAATGGGCAGCGGCTTGAAGAAGGCGTCAGAGCTTGGCACCCTCCTTTGGCTGGAGTGAGCCAATGGCACAGCCGTTGAAACAGCTGAGGTGGAAGCCATTTTTGTCTTCTCTGTTCTACAACACCCAACAGCTTTTGAATTTTTAGGATTGAGGTTTTGGACATGAGTTTGTTTTTGAGCGGAGGGATGCAATGAGAGTTGGAAAATTGAGATCTGTGGACAGGGTGAAATTTCTGTCTCAGGTGGCACCTTCTTGATTTGGCATTGGTGGATTAGGTTATCATATGTGCCCAATCACACCATCAAGAATGAAATTTGGTGAGAATTTTCAGTTTTTGGGTTAAGCTACCGGTACTGGGGCCAGAAACAGAGTTCCGGGCCGTTTTTCAGGGCCGAAGTGTTGGGCCTGTAGCAAAGAATTGCAAAAACTTGTACATTCAACTCCGTCTACCACTGGGAATAGGAACGAATAAAATCCCCATATTGCTTCTGTTTTTGCAGTGGTTAGACTCTTACCATTATGCTGTTTCCAGCGAACTGTGGTCAACAATGTAGAAGAACGTTCAGAAAAAGAAAAAATTCCAGAGATAATTAGATGAACACTAAAACTGGAGTGCATTATCAACCAGTTTATCCTTTGTTTATTTATTTTATTGGGGGGACATCACTTGCAGCTTAGAGGGTGACACGCTGGGTGTAGTGACTGGACCGACAATCTTTGTGTCACGCCAGTCATGGATTTTATCTCAATATACCAGAGGGCTGGTTCAAACTCATCCTTATTGTTGGAAACATAAAAGATGAAGAATAATTTGAAAAAAAGATTTATTGTTTTCTTGAATAATATTGTATGTACAATGACTTATATATAGGTGTTTATAAAGAGAATATTTTAATGTATAAAATATAAAAAAAATATTTTAAAGTATAAAATATTTACTATAATTATGAATAAAATATGAATAATTGTGTTAACATCTAAACATCCCCTCAAACTCAAGGTGGTTATGATAAAACCAACTTGAGTTTGGAAAGAAGAGTATGAAAGTGTCTAGGAAAGTGAGTCTTGGTAAAGAGATTTGCTGGTTGATTAGCGGAGCCAATGAAAACCAAATGAATAGTTCCTTGTACAACATGATGGTGAACAAATTGACAATCAACCTCAATATGTTAGTGTGTTCATGAAAGACATCATTATGAGTAATCTATATAACACTTTGATTATCATAATATAAATTAGTAGAAGAAGGTTAAGGAATGCCCATATCTTCAATAAGCCATCGTAATGAAAGAAGTTTTGATGTGGTATCATTGAGAGCTCTATATTTAGCATCAATACTAGAGCGAGATGGAATAGTTTGTTCTTACTTTGCCAAGAGATAAGAGAATTACCAAGGAAAAGACAATAACCAGTGGTAGATCTACGATTAGAAAGATCATCAGCCCAATCAGCATTAGAGTAAGTGTGAAACACAAGGGAGGAGTTGGCAGAAAAATGGAGTCCATGAAACAATGTTCCCCACAATGTTTCCTTAACATAGCGAATAATGCGAAGTACTAATACATAGTGAGTGGAGTGAAGAGCAGCTATAAACCAATTAACAATGTGAACTGCATATGCTATCTTAGGGCGTGTTGTGGTAAGATAAACTAGACTACCAACCAATTGCTAATAGCGAGTAGGATCAAAAAGTGGAGAGCCATTCATAGGTGTAAGTTTGACATTAAGTTCAAGAGGTGTAGAAACACTGTTACCATCATTTAGTTCAGCTTTAGAAACAAGATCGAAGGCATACTTTACTTGAGAAAGCAGGTAGCCATCATCTGAAGAGGTGACTTCAAGCCCTAGAAAATAACTCAGAACACCAAGATTTTTCATCTAAATTTCTAACTGAGAGATTGTTTTAACTCAACATTTGCAACATCATCTCCACTAATAATCATGTCGTCAACATTAAGAAGTAAAAGAACCATACCCTGAGCAATCTTACAAATGAATGGAGTTGTATCATGTGGACTAGAAGTAAAACCAAACTCACTCACAGTAGCACTAAACTTTGCACACCAGGCTTGAGGGGATTGCTTCAAGTCGTATAATGCATATTGCAATCAGCATACCTTGTTTGGAGGATGGTTGAGCCCGAGAGGTGATTTCATATAAACTTCTTCTTTTAGGTCAACTATATGTAAATAAATACTAAGAAAATATGAAATCTATAACATAAGCATACATATACACACGCACTCGCCGTAGGAGCTACATTGGCATGGAGGCGTGGACACTAGGGGAAAGTAATCGAAACTACAAGTCGATGGAAATGCCTGCATTTTAATGTTTATCTCATTATCCATGAAATGTCGCGGCCCAATACGAGTCACAAGAGGCAAACCTTAAACTTATACCGAAAGTTATTAATACCGTACCGGCATACGTATTAGTCTTGCTACTGAAATGGTATATACTGAATACCAAAATTTTTCATGTATCGTTTTGGATTTATCGTTATAAATATATATTTTTATAAAAAAAATAGATATTTTGTAACATATGAAATATTAATTCAATTTTAATATATTTAATTTTTAATTTAGGTATTTAAATTTACTTGTTTATTTTAAGATGCTATATAATACATTTTTTTGTACTTTACCTTTATTTTAAAAAGATAATTACAATATATATTAAATAAAAA